ACGGTCCTCAGGGTATCACGAAGAAACAATGTATTTGAATAATGCGTGCTATCAATTGATTGATTGATATGTGGGGTTTAACGTCCCAAAACCACTATATGATTATGAGAGACGCCGTAGTGGAGGGCTCCGGAAATTTAGACCACCTGGGGTTCTTTAACGTGCACCTAAATAATGCGTGCTATCAACAACTTGCCTCTTACACTGATGACATGATAGGGTGTAAACGCCAACCATAAGGAATAAAAATCTGGCGAAATCACTTATTCTCCTCGCTGTCTTGCCACCACTTTTCTTTCGGAGACGTCATATAATTTGGGATAGCAACATCAGAAACACGAAAGCCTGAAGAGCTTTGGCCGCCTCTGGTAAATTAGTTCATTTCAAAATGAAATAATTACAAGACAAGAAATCTTTTACTGCAGTAGGGAATTCTCTCCGACTCTTTGGATACCGCTATCAGTTGCGACAGACTTCAGCTTTTCGATGATTGTGTAGATAAAGAGAATGAGCACATGCGCATATTTATCTTCTCCTCAAGTTTACACTACTTATCAAAAGGGTCGGTTCACTTTCAAAACTGCATGCTTATGTCAGCTCGCTTTTGATGCACTGTGCATAAAGCTCCTTTTCACAACTCAATTTTTTGTCAACGTTTGTTGCACTGAACGTTTCTGGTCTACGAGTAAATAGATGCTCACGGTTGATGACTTATGAATTCGCAAATCAAATGATCCACCAAACGCAAAAGGTAGTTCAAAAACTATTTTCTTTTGCGTTTTTCCTCTAAGAAAGAACTCACAAAAAATTCAAATGGGACTGTTTTTTTTTCTCTTCAATAAATTTACTACAGTTTACGAATTCTAGACTGCACTTCTGAGCTTTCTATTGAAATAGCAGATCTGCGGCTTATAGGCCGAAACCAATTAACTTTCATGAGACTGTGATTATTTCGGCGGAAAACTGATGTGTGAAACAAACAGTCATAATGACCAAGAGGTGCATGAGTTACCCCTTTCTCTGCTTTCGGATCGTTTGTTTGATTTGAGAGAATGCGGAAACCTCTTTTCGCATGGTTCATCCCAAAGTTTCGTGAGCCCCCACGGGGCACATGGCACAAGGCGAGGAGCGTTCTTGTAACAACGTTTTTACAGCGTTTGCGTAAAAAAATAGTGTTCACGTGATATAAATAGCACTGTAAAGCATCAATCACACCTGCGTCAATTAACAGGGGCGCGATCGTTTGCAACACGTGACCAAAAGGCGATTCGAGGCGACCAATGCCCAAACGCGTGTCCGGCTTATACATGTCGCTATAGAATGAACGTCTTCTCAAATAGCCATTTCACCGTAAAGTATGCTCTACTTTTCTTCCTGGGCATGCAATTGTTACGGAGCTTTTCGACAGCAGTCGCGTGACCTAGAGATAGAGTCGCAAGCGATTGAGCCTAATCATTGGCTTTGAAACCGAAATGGCTATTGGCGACCAGTAGTCTTGCAACTTGGTCGCGCAGTCGGTGATAGTCGCAAGTGCCAATGAGATTTAAAATAGACCTACCAAATTACTATCGACATCGAGTCCGCAAGAAGCCTTAAGTGTGAGTAGTCTCAACTGTCTAATATGACTTTAGATTCACAACGAACATTCTCAAATCATTTAAAGAATTCAACGATCCTTGTAAGCGTCTTTTTTCACGGAGAATTAAAGAAGCAGGTGCCAAACTGGCAATTCTGTGCTCGAAAATAATATATAGATGTTCAATAACGTGGCGAGAAAGGCTGAAAGAGACATCCCGTAATAAAAAAGCAGCTGACTTCTAATATTGCTGTTTTCGTTCAGTGCCGATGTTTTGCCGTTTCTTGGTGAGCACTATTTGCACGACGTGTGCATATATACGTGCATAGAAGGTTACTGCTAATGGGAGCACTTGCGCAATGGCGGTGTCAAAATAATTTCACTTGCATGGGCAGTGGCGCCAGAATATACAGAAGATAACATGCATCAGGCTATTCTCAGGCGTATAGATACAGCTGTACAATACACGCGTACTCTGCATTGTAGTTAAGATGCAAACATGTAGTTATAACTACTGACCTTTGTTTTTATGATGAAAGCACCATGTAGTTGTGAAGGGAACATCACAACTACATGTTTATGTTGTTACGATGCAAACAACATGATAGTTTGTGTGTTTCCTTTAAGAGTGTAACCTGTTTTACGTCACAGCCGCACTGAATGGGTGCAATGTAGAGTTAGTGATGGCGGTACTATTCTAATGTAAGGTTCAATCCAGAATGGTCGTCGCCTACATATACTATACACCAATGGAGAGAAGTGAAGCACACTCGTCACCTGTGTCACAGTCCAGAACGCGGCGCTGCTCATGTTTGTGGCTTCCATGACGATGCGACATGCATCCTTCTCACGCATCGATGCCTCCACAGAGGGCAGCACGGCGGCCATGCATTTCGCCTTGTGCTCGTCGTAGGACCGGTCACGCTGTGCGTAAGTTTTTGTGCACAGTGAAATCAGTGTTTCAGTGATACAAACAACCATGCCGTAAGAATGAAGGGCTATAAGTTTGCAAAAAGAAAAAAAAAAGTCGACTGACAATAAACTTAATATTTTGAAACTCGAAGGCCTTCCAGTTATCTTTACCAAGGGTGTTGTACCATTATGTGAAGCTAGGGCTAATGTCACGCAGTCAAGCTGCTTGGGATCAGAAGCACGATGAAGCAAACGAAAACAAAGAAAAAATTGGCAGATATCATGTACAGCGGGAATCGATGATGTGCGAAGCGCGAATGAGAAATGTTGATATGTAACTTTAAAATCAGCACAACGTTACGAGATGGAGGAAAATGATGCCGTACATGACTTCCGTGTCACGATTATTATGTTTGGATGTGTCGTTTACCTTCGTCATCTATTCACGTCACGTGATACCCAATTTAGTATATGTGGAGCTAGCAAAACGGCCGCGAGCACGCTATGAGCATGGTATGTTTTCATGTTCTTACATGACACGCGTGTCAGGATTATCATGTTTGCACAAGTCAAATACCTTCCTCATCAATTGACGTCATGTTACACCTAACTTCGTATATGTGGAGCTAGCAAAACGGCTGCGAGCGCATCATGAAGGGTCCAATATACTCCAATGTAGCGTTGACCCGCGCGCACGCTGGGCACAGTGACGATACGTTAGCAAAACGCGAGCTCTCTATACTCTGACGCCAGGAGTGGCCAGCGTCCGTCGGCGCGGCCAAGAAGCTGGTCATGAGGCGTTCGCGGCCGTTTTGATAGCGTCACATATACCGAATCTGGCATTACGGTAAGTGAATGAATGACGAAGGTATGTGACTGGTGCAAATATGATAATCATGACTTCCGTGTCATGTAACAACATGACTACATGTCACGCTCATGATGCGCCAGCGGCCGTTTCGCTAGCTTCCCTTAAACCAAATTTGGTATCATGGGACGCGAATGGATGACGAAGGTATGATACTGGTGCAAACATGATAATCATGAGATGCGTGTCATGTAACAACAACACAACTTGCTACGCTCATGATGCGATCGCGACCATTTCACTAGCTTTGCATGTACCGAACTTGGTATCACGCGACACGAACGAACGACATAGGTAAATGACAAATTCAAACATGACAATCAAAACATGCGTGTCATGTAACAACATGACTACATGTCACACTCATGCTGCGCTCGCGGCCATTTCGTTAGCTTCAATATGCCACATTTGGTATTACTTGACGCCAATGAATGACGAATGTATGGGTCTGGTGCAAACATGATAAATATGGGATGCGCCGTAATGTGAGAACATGACTACAATCCCACACTCAAGGTGCCAATACATTTCGACGTAACGCAGTGCGCGTGCTCGCCGCCGTTCATTTCGTCGCGTCACGCCGGCGTTGCCATGCCAGGCACTGGGGCTGCCATATACTCGCAGGCACGCACCGCACTGCGTTGCTTTGACGCATGAGCGTTCCAATGCGTCCGGCATCCCTCCGTCACAAAAAAAGGGAGACGCAGTGTTGTGTGGGTAACGCATTGGTGCGAAATGCAGCATGTTGCATTTCGCACCGGTTGCCGTCGGACCGTGCCGACGGACGCTGGTCGCGCCTGCCATGAGAGTATATAGTGCTCGCGTTTTGCTAACGTAGAGTCGCTGTGCCCAGCGTGTGCGCGCGTCAACGCTACGTTGGAGTAGATTGGGCCCTTCATGCTGCGCACGCGACCGTTCTTGCCAGCTCCGCATATACCAAATTTGGTGTTACGTGGCGTAAATACATGACGAAATATATGACTGGTGCAAACTTGATAATCCTGACACGCTTGTCATGTAAGAACATGACAACATACCACGCTCATAGAGTGCTCGCGGCGGTTTCGCTAGCTCGACATATACTAAACTTGGTATCACGTGACGTAAATAAATGACGAAGGTAAGCGACAAATCCAAACAAAATAATCATGACACGGAAGTCATGTACGGCATCAGTTACCTCCACCTCGTAACGTTGTGAAGATCTTAAAGTGACTTATCAACATTTCTCAATCGTGCTTCGAATATCATTTATTCCCACTGTACGTGAGATCTGCCAATGTTTACATGACAAGCATGTCGTGATTTTCATGTTAGGGCCTGTCGCTTGTGTTCGCCATGCAATCATGCCATAACAAACCAGTTTTGTAACATGCAATGTGAACGAAACTACCGCGAAAGCTGCAGGACCAAGCAATGTAAGGCACGACATTCATAACATACATGTCATGATTTTCATGTTATGACTTGTCAAATATGTTCTTCATACAGTCATGTTATGTCATAACAAGTTTGGTATCGATACTATTATCGAAACTTCCAGGAGAGCTAAAAAACTCCCAAGCATTTCCCCGAGGGTGAACATGATTAAGTGCGAATACACGGGGTGATGCTATGAGGTGTATTTATTAATTCGCACTATTATAATTATTAATCACACTATGGTGCCTTTATGGTGTAATGGTTCCTGGGAATCGCAATTTGATCACACGAGGGAGTTTACGTTAACTCACAGGCGAATGCCAACGGATTTTAACTTTACTCCCCCTCACGACCCGCTCTCGACGGGAGACTGAGAGAGAAGGCGGGCGCGCGAGAGAGAGGGGTGCGCGCGCAGCTGCAGCGAGCGAGGAGAGCGGAGGAGCGAGCGAAGGGGAGGGGGTATAAGGCGCGTTACTGACACCGATATCAGCGTCGCGTCCGTGGCTTATTCGGTAGAGCGTCGCGCTGCGGCCCGCCAAGTCCTCTTTCTTTTAAAGATAGAGAGAAGACTGCGGACGCCGCCGACGGCGGTGGATGGTTTGGGGTCGCTTATAAAGTGTATTCACACTTAAAATTGGCAGATCCCACGAGCAGTGGTAATCGCTGATATGCGAGTCTCTCCCCCACTCTTTTTTCTTCTCCCTCTCTTCCCTCTTTCTTGTCTTTCTTGTCCCCTTCCCTAATCCCCCAGTGTAGGGTAGCCAACCGGATGTCTTTCTGGTTAACCTCCCTGCCTTCTCCCTTTTGTTGCTTCCTCCTCCTCCTCCTCCTCCTCCTCCTGATATGCGAAGCACGAATTAGGAAGCTTGATATGTAACTTTAAAATCAGTTCAACAATACGAGGCTGAAGTAAATGATGCCGTACGTGACTTTAATGTCATGAATATCACGCTTGGACGTGTCCTTTACCTTCGTCATCTAATCACGTCACCTGATATAGAATTTGGTATATCTGCAGCTAGCGAAACGGCCGCGAGCACGCTATGAGCTTAGCATGTAGTAATGTTTTACACGACACGAATATCATGATTATAATGTTTGGACGTGTCCCATATCTTCGTCGACCATTCACGTCCCGTAATACCAAACTTGGCATATTTGAAGCTAGCGAAACGGCGGCGAGCGCTCGTAACGTTGACGTGTCCCCACGCTGGGCGCAGCGACGCTACGCTATCAAAACGCGAGCACTCTATTGTCTGACACTAGGCGCAACCAGTGTCTGTCGACTGGGACCGGCGGCAACCGGCTCGAAATGCGACATGCTGCATTTCGCGCCGACGACGTTATCTTGACAGCACCGCGTCTGCTTAGCTTCGTGACGGAAGGACGCCGGGCACGCTCAAACGCGCATGCGTCATAGCAACGCACCGCGGCGTGTGCCTGCGATTATATGCCAGGCAGATTGGCGCCTGGCGTGGCATCGCCAGCGTGACGGGACGAAACGAACGCCGGCATGCGCGCGCGCCGGGCCACGTCGAAGTGTTTTGGCACCTTGAGTGTGGCGTGTAGTGATGTTCTTACATGACAGGCATCTCATGATTATCATGTTTGCGCCTGTCACATACCTTCACCATTCATTCACGTGACGTAATACCAAATTTGGCATATGTGAACCTAGCGAAACGGCAGCGAGCGCATCACAAGTGGGGCATGTAGACTTGTTGTTACATGACACGCATGTCATGATTATTATGTTTGCAACAGTCACATACCTTCGTCATCCATTCACGTGCCGTAATACCAAATTTGGTGTTTGTGAAGCTAACGAAACGACCGTGAGCGCATCATGAGTGTGGCTGTAGTCATGTTGTTACATGACACGCGTTTCATGGCTATCATGTTTGCACCAGTCACATACGTTTGTCATCCATTCACGTCACGTAATACCAAAGGTGGTGTATGTGAAGCTAGCGGAATGACCGCGAGCGCATCATGAGTGCGGTATGTAGTCATGTTGTTACATGACACGCATATCACGATTATCATGTTTGCACCAGTCACGTACCTCCGTCATTCATTCGCGTCCCGTAACATCAAATTTGGTATATGTGAACCTAGCGAAAGGACAGCGAGCATACCACGAGTGTGGCGCGTAGTCATGAATCATGACTTACATGATATGAATGTCATTATTTCCACGTTAGGGTCTGTCAATTGTGTTGGCCATGCAGTCATGTTATACCATGCCAATTTCGCAACATGTCATGTGAACGAAACCACCTCAAGAGCAGCAAGACCTTTAATTTAAATAATGACAATAATGACATACATATTATTATAGTGATGCTATGACTAGTCGATTATGATTGCCATACAGCCATGTTATGCCACACCAAATTTGGTATTGATACCATTAACGAAACGGCCAGCAGAGCTGAAAGTCGTAGGCGGCTAGGCAGATAGATACGCTCGATGTCGCCGAAGCTCGCTAAGAAATGCTTCGCTTTTAAAGTCGTAGGCGGCTAGATAGATAGATAGATAGATAGATAGATAGATAGATAGACTATCTATCTATCTATCTATCTATCTATCTATCTATCTATCTATCTATCTATCTTCTATCTATCTATCTATCCGCTTACGTTTGGGAGCTCTCGTGGTCACCCCCTTAACTTTGCGCAAACCAAAACTAACATGGGAGGGTAAGATTGTTTGACGACTA